CAGCCCTTCAGCCCTTAGCATTACAAAGACAGCTGACCTAAGTAGCTACACCTCTGGCAACTGTAATACTGCCCTACAAGAATTAAATATTTAGTTTACAGAAGCAGATAAAAAGAACAGAGTCGCTTTTCTAGCAGCACAGCCAGGCTTTGATTCTGCTCTGCCGTTGGGTATTCTCAGGAATTTGCCCAGAACGGCCTTGAACTGAGTGGAGCCTCCAGCACTCCTGCAGCATAAATATTCACTAGCTACGGTTCTTCCCACTGACACAGCACTTACAGCTTAGAGGACAGCCCCCACAAAAATTAAAGAGCTAGAGCATGGGAAGTTATTGGCCTCCAGCTGTAAAAAAATCCCCAATGCACAACCTGCTCTGAGTCAGGAGAACACGGCGAAGGACAGGTAGAGAAGAACCCTTTCAAACACCAACCGACCAGTAACTGGAAAAGTCTGAAAGAAGAAAGTCACTTGCAATCTTCTCAAAACCTAGAGAAACTCTCCGTGTGGGGCAGGAGACACTGCCCGTGACACAAAGCCCTTGCTCTCCCGGCCTCCTCCCATTCCTGCCTCCCCGTTCCTCTTGCCAGGGCAACTGGAGCTGGCTCAGTGCCTCAAGGCATCTGTCTGACTCTGCATTTGATCCTAGCCCCACATAACTCAAACTCAACATCACGACGGTGAGCTGCCACTGCACCAAAAAGTACAGTTTCAGCAAGAACCTGGAGAACACCGCAAAGGTGCATCTCAAACAGTGAGGACTCTAAAGGAGTTTCTCAGAGTGGTCAAGTCCCTAGGGGCATGATTTGCTCCATACCAAGACCACACCGATTGCTGGGATCATTCTGTACGCACTCGTTAACTAGTGCAGGAGGCAGCTTTGAGCTTTGGGCACGTGCCATTTCTTCCTTTACAAGCTAATCAGAGGAGGGTGAAGCACACAAACCCCCTTGCCAGGGATGATGTCTTGCCATCCGCCAAGCACCAGGAAGCCATCCACTCATGCATCACGATCCTCACAAGGGACACATCTCCATACATCCAAGGTGCTGCTGGGTCCCAAGGCACAGCAGATGAAACTCCTCTAAGGCACCTGAGGAACAAGCTTATGGACTAGCATTAAGGCCTCTCCTTTTCCAGGGATCAGCACAGCTCTCAGGAACAATGCTAATACAGCACCCCTACTGGAGCCTTGCATTCGTATCCTCGCTCCCAAGAGAACCGGCCCAGCAGTTAACAGGCTCAGGTCTCTTGAGCTCCTGACAGGAAATCACCATCCAGCGGGATTCAGCGTATCGGGGTGGAAACTTCTGGCAGTCCATCCACAGAGATGTTCCCTGCATTGGCAGTGAAGCTGTAAGCCAGAGCGTTTGACTCCAATGACGGAAGGCCAGGAGAAATCATCACTTTATCCTACTATTATTATTATCCTATTTATCCTACTAGTCCATGGCCAAACCCCATTCTTTAAAGACAGAACTATGATGGGAAACCCTTCGTCACTTCTCCCTTCATTCCTGCTCTATGGCAGGCTATAAAAGCAGAACGTTATTTCTCTCGGGAAATTCCAATAGGCTGTTGAAGAGGTTCTTCACGTGCCTGCTACTCCCCAGGAAAAAGAACTGCTGCATAAAAGGATGTCATAACACTGCACAAGACAGCAGGGGAGAGACTCGTGTAGGAGCCTGCTTTGATTCAGCCCTAGAGCAAACTGTGTCACAGAAACACGGCCATTTAGGAAAGGTTTCCACTCCCAGCTTGGGGCTTCATGTCGCTACATCATCACATCTTGATGTGGACAGGACTCGGCCAGAATTCCAGAGCTCCCCTTAATGCACCTCAGGAGCTCAAGAGCAGGTGAAGCTCATTGTGGAGACATAGTGACCGTAATGAAGCAGGAGCCCTGGGGCACACTCCAGAACCAGCTCTGACACACCACAGGATGCTCTGAATGCTCAGCTCAGCAGCTCCCACTCTCCCCGATATCCTTGCTGCTCTGACACACTGGTGGCTCTCAGCCTTACATGGGTTGCAGGAGCAACCGAGAAGAGAACAGCAGCCCCTTCCTCGGAAAACAAAATAAAACAAATAAACTAGTTTCACCCACTGTAAAAGAAAGAAGAGGTTGGGATTATTCCAGGCTTTACTCCAAGATGAGAAGGGATGTTGCACTGCTCAGACAGCAGGCATTCTTCATCCCAGACCATGCAACTATTCAGAACGACGGCTCTGGCTGATTGAAGGACATGGGCGTTTTGCTTGCATCACCAGGAAAGGGAGCACTTTTCTCTACCTATCTGCAGTAGAACTCAAAAAGCCTGTTTAAATCTGAGAGCCTCGTGTCCAGGCTCACAGACGACACTGGAAGGGAGACTCAGATGTGGTATACATCCAGGTTTTAGGAAGGGATTGCTGTTCCCGTGATTAAACCTGGGCTCAATGGGGGCTCCTTTCCACAGGGGACCATTTCATTCTGCAGGTCAGTATGTGAACCAACAGTGCACCAGTGTCCTTTCTTCAGCCCCATGCGCTACGTGGAAACGTGTCCTTACAGAGAATAACTGATAACCTCTGGCCACTGTGAAGACACTCACAAAGTGCCCTTAATTCACAGCCCTTGCAGCAGAGCCCAGCCTGGGGGCGGCTCTTGCTGCTGTTCAGAAAGGCTTTTTGCAACAAGCGCCCCCAGCCTCACCAGAAACCTGAGGTCTCCTCTCTTGGCACATCAAGCAGCTGACGTGGGATCTGCCAACGGACCTCATTCAGAGATGACAAGGAGGAGGAGCAGGAAGGGAGGTTCTCAGCCATCACTCACCATGGGCACAATGGTGAAAATATCATTGCAGAAAGGCACGGAGTCTCCCTGCACCTCTGTCCCCTGGTTCTGGGAGGTGCAGATGGGAAGGGAAGGCTGTTCTCCGAGAGGGCGCACCACCCCGTGCTCCTTAGGAACATCAACCAGCTTGTCCTCTTCCTGCCTCTGCAGCCTGTGCCATGGGAGAGACGAGCCAAACAGATAACTGAAGAAGCAGCACATTTGCAGAGCCTGTGCATGAGCAGCAAAGCACCTGGGGAGGAAGAGCAGCAGCTCTGCATGGGGCTGCCCTGAGACAGGGGCTCCCACATGGATCCCATTATTCCCCTCGTTCCCAGCACAGCAGGGCCTTTTACTCCTCACTGACAAGCTAACAAGAGGTTTCTTAAAGCTGGCAGCCCTCAAGAAAAAGCCTCCTGCACTGGGAGGAGGGGCCACAAACCAGGACACTGAAAGGCAATTCCCCAGCCTACAGCAGGTCGGCCTCCACCTTCTGGGCCAACTAAGCACTCTACCCTGCGTGTGACTGCAAAAGGAGCCTGCCAGCTTATCAAAGAAGAAACCGCTTGACTATCACAATAGTTGTGCCACCTGCAGCTCTTCAGTGCTACTGCTCAGTGCAGTCCCAGGTACCGAGTGCCGACACCTTCCTCAGCCTCACGGACCCTCCGTAGTGCACGGAGCTCTGAACTCAATAGTCTGCGGCTCCCAAATGTGAATTTGCCCTCTGAGGCAATCCAGGGATTGCAATCAACCTTCTCTCCCCAGAACATCATCCTCAGCTGTAGCACGGGTGGCACTGGAATGGCAAGGGTTAAGCTCCACGCTGTGCATGGCTTCATGGGCCCTAATCCGTTCAAAAGCCCCAACAGCCCTCTGAGGCTGTGCGTTAGTTTTCCCCTGGGGCATCTATCTTTCTGAGGTGAATCTCTCAAACAAACCTCAGCTTCTGCCGCTCCTCCTCTTCCTGATCAACAGAACGCTTCCACTGGAAGTGAGCCGTGATGGCACTCTGATTGTGGATGACCACGCATCTTTGGTTTGACAGCGTGACGGAAGTCTTCTCAACCGTCAAGGAGCTCTTGTCAAGCCTGATGTTGACATTTACAGCTCTTCCACAAAGGCTTTTGTGAACATCTTCACCTGGAACAAAGCAAAGGCAAGACTCAGCTCATCTCACTCGCTGATGGAAGTACAAGGAACAGAGCAATCTGCAGGCAACGGAAGAAAGAGCTGCAGCTTTGAGCTGCATCAGCAGTTCCCCGCACCTGGACATACATCATATCCTGACAGCTGCACACGGTACAGCATGAGGATGTCCTAGCACCACCTTAGGCACCTTATTCTGGGGGGGTGTTCGTGGAGGTTTATCCCCAAGGTGACAGCATTTACAGTGAGACTTTTCACTTCTGCCCAGCTGCCTTTGGGCCGCCATCCCACTCAGCTCACAGGGAATTCTACATCCAAGTCACTCAGTGACGCTGAGGACCCTCACCTCAGTCAACCCTTGCCCACGCTCTCCTGCAGGCAGGAGATGCCCCCGTGTCGTCTCATCCTCATCTCCTGGTCCTGAAAGATTGGGCAGAGCTCTCATCTCAGAATCCGAGCGGGAGCATTTGAAATGAAATGGAGAAGGGAAGAAGGAACAATGGAAAGCACAGAGCAGCTTCTGTGCTGAGCTCTGCACTTAAAAGGGTGCTACTGGGCCCTCAGATCCACCTGCCAACTCCTTCTTTTGCTCCTGCTACTCTCACAGCCGAGTGCCTCACCACTGCCAGCACGTCCTTCCTTGTCAAACGTGCTGCTGTTACCACTTCACCACTGGAGAAGTGAGTCCCTTCACTAGGGTAAGTGTCCTCTGGAAAGCTGGAGACTTCCAGCACCAGAGCAACACGCACAGCAGCACAGCCATTTCAAAGTGTTTCTCCAAGGTGGTCTTCACAACCTACCTTCAGACATCATTACCCCCCTCACATTACTGACTCCAGCCCTAGCAGCAGCTTGTTCATAAACCCCACCATTAAATAACTGCTGCTAACATGGGGGTTTCTACAGAATCATTCCCAGGCTACAGCAAAGCTCAGAGCACCCTAATGGCTACCGCTGCCACAGTTACTGCTCCTCACGGTCACAAGTCCTCAGCATGGCCCAGCTCTCAGCACAGCACCCACTGCACCCACGCGGCACATCACAAGAAGAGGGTCTCTACCTCAAAGGCCTTGCCAGGAACTGTAACACAACAGATCGGGATGAAAAGCAATGACCAGTCAGGAGAGCTCTACGGGACAGGTTGCAGGCTCTTCAGACAGCTCTCCTGCACGTTAAAAGCCATCTCCTTTTCAATCAGGCTCCTTGCTATGCACCCTTCTGCAATGGAGCACTCAGAATATTCACCGTCGCCCCCTGTGCACCGTGCTTAGGAAGATCTGCCGGCCTTGTTACAGGCTGAAATAGTCCAGCCCAGGAATATCTGGCAGCCAGCATGGAAGCTTTGCTCTACCCAGTGTGAAGGAGCCTTGCAGAAGGGATTCAACGGACAATGAAGCCATCAGATGATGACAGACAGTGCAGACACCGCTCTGTTTGGAAGGACACACAGAGGGTGCACCACGCACTTACCTGTGTCATAATGAACTATCATGGGACTGGAATAAACACCGGTCTTTGGCGGGTGAAATTCCACCGTGACTTGCATCGCTTCTCCAACGCCAAGAGTCCCAATGGAGGGATCCACAGAGAACGGGCTGCAAGGCAAAGAGAGAGATCAGGACTGTACGGGAGATCTGGGCCCTCCGTTAATTTTGCAGTCCACCTCACTTCAGCTCACTTGTGCAAGCAAGGAGCAAGCAAACCACCGTCGGTACAACAAAACCAGAACATCCAGGATCAGAAACAGAGCGGGTGACTCTCCCTGCTGAAGAGAACCAGACCTCAGAAGATCCCGGGGCATAACATGACCTCAGGCCCCCATACTCTGCACCCAGTTCTCAGTTCTCAGCTCTCCACCTCTGCACACGTGCAATCCAGTTACTCAGAATTCCACTTTTTTGTGGAGTTCACTTCAAACTTCTGTAATGCTTCCCATTTCTTTATTGCAAATCGGGACTGAAATAGTTCATTGCTGAAGTTGGGGAACTCCTAAAACCCTTGTCAAGGAGCTCTCGACACACGCTCTAGCACCCAAGCGAGTAGTTGGCAAGTGCATTGCAAATAGCAGGTCTTGGAGTATCTTTCACCTGCACCCTCCCTAGCTTTCTGGTTTGGGCTGTAGTCCAGTTCTGAAGGCACTGCCTGCTCCTCTCCACTTCAGAGCTCCTTCTGCTTAGGCATATTTGGTCCCAGGCATCAGACCAAGCCCACGGGAAAACAAAGTCCCCGCACCACACACTCGTATTGCCAGGGCCTCCACAGCAATTGCTTTCATCTATGATCTCTGCTTGCTAATGTAGACACAGCTGCTGATGAACTCTTCAGTGCCTCTCACCAGCTCATTGCTCGCCCATTTCTTGATGCTGCGTTTGGCCTCCGTGACCTGAGCCCCTCGAGCTCTCCTCTGCCACGCAGCACCTTCTTCAGCAGTCAAGCTGCCTTCCTACCTTGGCTCTTCCAATCTAACAGCATCAGACCTGCAAGATGCTGCCTTGGAGACACCACTGCACTGTAAAACTTGCTTGCAGAGCTTTCTCAAAACACTCTAAGCAATGGCAAACCCCACGGATCCTGCCCATGTCCAGCACCTCAGATACTCTGCCTCCTTTTTCTCACTGTTTACAACTCCATGACCACGCAACAGCGTCTGCACAAGACATGAGCTCCTTTACCTCAGAGTGGTGATGCTGTAGCAAGCCTCCCGATTCCCCACGTTGCGCACCAGCAGAGTTTTCTGGGTGCTGAACCTGACTGGACAGTTGGAGAAGTTCAGCTGCTCAGGGAAGTCCAGGCTGGCTCGGGCACCTATGGCTCGGATAGGCACAAAGAACTTCTCCCTCTCTGTGATGATGATAAGCTCGTCGAAATAATCCTGCAGGGAAAGAAACAATCTCAGCACAGTGCCTTTAGCACCATGCCCATGGCAGAAGAAGAGCTGCTGCTTTCTGGGACTCTCGCAGTAGCATTCCATAATGCACTCGCACTTTTTACCTTCATGGCCTTTCATGACACATTATTGCACAAGCAGGGGCAGCCAGGGACCATGGGGCAGGTCCTCTTTAGTTTTCTATAGGCATGCTGCTTGAGGATTGCACAGAGTATTCAACTACATTTAAGCAGCAAACAGAAGATGAGTAAAAGGCCATGCACAGACAGCAGACTCTCGGCCCTGAAGCCAACAGACATTACCTTAGATATTCCACCACGGAAGGAGAAAACAGCCTGAAACTGGCAAGAGCCTCCAGCCTACGGGAGCACAACCTTCACCACCAGGAAAGAGTCTCCCCCACGTCTAGATCCAGTGCAACCCTACTGAACCCAGCACCAGTTCTTCAAAACACACACCAGATGCCTGCTTTGGAATCCAGCCCTGCAGGTTCCCCTTCCCCTCAAGGCGCCATCTCTCGAGACCTTCAGTCTCACCTTGTTCTCATCAGGTCTGAAAAGGATGCGGTAGGTTGAAGACATGCCCGGTGCTACCTTATAGTCCTCATCACTCGGGCTGATCAACTCGAAGTAAGGAGAGTTCCCCAGGATGACGTTCAGCAGACGAGGAACCTGCAGGAAAGACACAGAACTATGATTTTGTCGCTTGTGGAAACATGAGAAGGGACCAGGACGGGCCACGTGCCATCCTTCCTTACCACCTTTCCAAAACACTTTTAGCTCTGCGTAACGCACAAGGGTGGACTTGAATCCCTTCTGCTTAGCTACATAGCTGCAGGACAGAGGCCGTAGGAACAACATGCCCTGCTGTGAAGGAAGCAGGAAGGAGATGCAGTACCTCAAGTCATTCAACAAGCCCAGAGAACATGCCTGCTTCTGCCTGCACACACCCGTGCAATCATGCCTCTGGAGGCGGAATGTATTATCTGAAGGCAACCCAGCGTGGGTTATACGGGGGGGGGGGGGGAGGGGGCGGGAAGGAAGTCACTTCTGACACACCAGCGTGGAGTGCGGCGGTCAAGCTGCGGTGCTACTCATGGGGGTGGACCAGCAAGAGAAGGAGACCACAAACACTCTGGCCTTCCTGAGAATAAAAGCTTACCTCAAGAGCAACCATCCCCAGGAGGAAGCAGATGGCAAAGAGAATTTAAAGGGGGCTGCAAAGCAGCAAGGGAGATCCATAACAAAAGGAAAGGCTGGTGCAGAGATGAGAACTAACGTGCCTGTATGAACCCCCACAGGCCGTGCCTACCAATGATGGTCCTCAAAGGCACTTTCTGCTTTGAGATAGGTGGCCAGCACTGCCTCACACTGTGGTGGCTTCATCACCGAAAGCCACCCTGAGCTCTCTGGAGGCTCTTGCTGCCTGGGGACTGCAGCCAGGCCTCTGCCAGTGCAGGAGAGCCACATTTCTGGGTATCCCTCCTCAGAGCCAGCCTTTCCTGCAGGCATCCTGCTGCAAGTGTCTGTCCTCTGCGATACCACAGGCACGGGGACAGCAAACAGGCATTCTCTAGCACACAGGCAGCAACCCCCCAGCACCCAATCCCAGCTCATAAAGTATAACAAGGAGACTTTGAATGACAGGCAGCTCCACTGATGAACACACGAGGCTTGGAAAAAAGGGAGGCTCATTCTGCACCCCCGACCCAAGCCTCATAACCCATGGCCAAGGCAGCCCTGGACGCTCTAAACACCCTTTGCTCCCAGCAATGCCCTGGGGCAGACAGCTCCAGGAGCCCATTTCCCACTGCAGCCACACGTTCCGGTCGCCAAATCCCTTGGCACGTGAGCCCAGGTGGCAAAGATCTTCAGCAGGAGCCACCCAGGGCACCTCTTGAGGGTGGGGAGGAGCAGCCTGAAGACAGGAAAGCAATTCCACAGCAAGTAGGCAAGAGCACTGAGCAGAGAGCGAAGCACTTCCGTACTGGAGTGATTACAGAGCACCTACTGGGCTCCATTACACTTTGCCTCTCCTACACTTTGCTGCTAGCTGCAGTTCTAGGGAGCAGACAACCTCAGCACCAGGCAGGATACATCAGTAGGACTCAGAGGAGTCTGGGGAACTCCTGAGACAGAGCGCAATGGTCCTTTTCTCCAGGACATGACCAAAACCCAGCAAAATTAGAACATGATACGCTCTCTTGGCATTATCATCTCTAGCTTTGCGCATTTAAAGATGACAAGGCTTTTCCTTAGAGCTGATCTTCCTTTTACACCAGGGCCGTCCAATGCCTGAGGTCGTACTAGCTTCACAACTAATACATTTGGGCTAAAATCAACAGTTCACACACTGCCTCCCCTTCACAGGGCATAGAAATCCCAAGCTGCAGCTGTACCCGCCTATTACGTTTTATTGGGAATGGCACCAACATCAGTGCAGATGTTGTTTTCCACTTGGGAAGCACGAATAGAGCAAATTCACTGCTTGCCTCTTCGCTGCTACTTGGCAAAGGCAAACATTCTGCGGTGCTGCATGGATGAGGGAGCAGCTGAAGCCAAAAGACACAGTGGGAATGAAGCAGAGCAGTAGGAAAAGAGAAACTGAGGCCCATTTTAATAAGCAAAGGCTACACCTACAGCAAAGATTGCCCAAAGTCACTGTGAAACACACCACTGGTGTCCCTTGGGCATAGGTAGCCACGCTGCAACTTCCCAGTATTCCCAAGCTATACCAGGAACGATACACAACTCTCTGGGGGTAACTGAGCGACCATACCTTCATCCTTTCTTGCCAAAGGGTCTTCCATGCTCCACCACGTCCCTGTAAAACCTGTTCTCTCAGGAGATAACTTTGACTTCTCTTGCTCTTCCTCCCCCTACATTAAGCCCTGACAGTGTCACTCCTTTTGTCCCCCTCTTTGTTTCTCCCAACAGGGGGATTTGAGGAGGGGGTTAATTCACCTGCACACTTCCACCTCCCCCGTGCCCTCCTCTCACGCACACATCTTGCTCTTTCTTACGCAACAGGAGCTTGAATTACGCCTGTTTCTGACCTTTCTCTGCTTCCAGCACACTTCCTGTTACGTACCGAGAGAATCCCTGTGTGGAAGAAAGTGCTCCGGGACAGGACACTCAACTCAGCCCCTTTCCTCCCTCCTGTCTTTTCCCATCAGCTTGCTCTTGGCACATGCCTCTCTGGAGCAAATGTTTCCCCAACTGAAATTCAAAAGCTCTCCATTTCCCCCTTTACAGCAGAGCAGAACAAAATTGCTGACATTTCTCAACTTTTCCCTGCTCAAGTTTCTCAGGACATCTCCAAAGGATCACAATCTTTCCAGCTCAAGTTGGAGACCTTCTGGAGCACATTACCCTGCCCGTGCTGGGATTCTCCAAAGAGAACGCACAGCCACGCTGCCTTAGAAACACCTGAGCAGAACTGAGCTAAGCTTAGCAGGAGCCTCAAGTGGCACCTCAAGTCCTCCCCTTTAACTGCTCCTGCTAAGCCAGCCTCTTTCCACTGCTCTTCTGAAACACCCGGCCTGGAGTGCTAATGCCAGCAGTTACAACTTACTCCAGCACAAAGTGGAGAAGACTCAACCCCTGTGCTGTGACAGGGAGCTGCACACACGTGGCTGAACAGGCTGAGAGAGGGAAACATGCCCTGCCAGAAACCAACATTAACCAAGGAGCCAGCGGGATACGCTGCGCACTCGAGGTAAAGCATGACAGCAGGCAAGAACTGCACAGCCCTCGACATTCCCATCAGAGCAGGGCTTTCAAGGGCAAGCACGCTGGCTCAAAAAACTCCTTTGGCTTAGATACCACCAGTGCACGGCCAAAACCAGCGGCAGAACCCCCAGCACGGGAACATTTCCCCCATTTGCAGAATAACGCTGGTGAGACACTGGATTCTGCATGCGATGTGCTGCAGCAGGTAACTTGCTCTGCTGCACACCGTGTGAATTCCACTGCTCTCCTCCTCCAGCCCAGTGCTCAACCTCCACAGCCCAGCACTTACCCTGTCCGTGTTCCTCAGAGCTAGCGCCGCTATGTAGAACTGCTGGGGAACGTAGTTCTCAAACACCACCTCGGATGGGAAAGGCTGGAACAACCTCTGGTCCACGTCAACTGCTGACAACTGCAGACGCAAGACAGAGCAGAGAGAGCTTCAGCTGCTGGCAGAAACATCGACGAATGAAGATCCCACACTGATCTCCGGTAAATACAATCTCTTGGCGAGTACATCTGCCCAGCTCACACTAGGAGATGGCAGCTCACCCACCTCTGCTCTCAGCTGAGCAAAGCTTTCTGGACCAGCTTGAGCAGCCTCAAGCTAAGAAGCTCTTTTGGAGGCTGTTTCTCCACGTTGCCTTCTCCAAAAGGAAAAGCAGCGCTCACCTCCAGCAGAGCCCTCTGCTAAGGTGCTCACTCAGCTCCAGACACTTCCTGGAACAGCCACGAGCACTCGGGGAGCAAGCAAAACCCACGAGTTTCCATGGGCCTCCACAGGAAACAATTTGCGGGTGAACTTCCCCCTGACGCAGCAAGACTGAGTCCCACGCATCCCAAGTATCTTTTTTTTGATGTAGAGCCCAGAAACCAGTTGCAAGACACCAGTACCAGGGAGGAAAGGCCAACAAGAAAGTAACAGGGCAGTCGGGAAACAGACAAATGAGGTGAATGCTGGATGGGGATGAAGTTCAGCTCTTTCCCCAGCATTACTGGGCAACTGGAGCTAGACTGTAATTCGTATCCCCTTTCCCCGTGAGCTTGAAGTTGATGCTTCTCTGTATTCTATTACTGCTGGTTTATTTAATACTGCTGCAGAAGCAGCTCTGAAAAAATACACACAAAGACCAAACGCTGACCCAGCAGAGGCATTACTTGCAGATAATTCCTCCCTGCTTGCTCTCCCCTCTCCCAGCTGCACTGCTGCCACTCGAGAGACACAGGCAGGTCTCCTGCTTCTCCACGGTCAGGCTGAGGCCAGTAGCTGTAGCACTGCCAGTCATTTGGGCGCCCGTCTTACGTGTTCCCACCTCGTGCGCTGTCTGGGGCAACCCTTAACTGATGTGATACAGGTCTCTTGCTGGCAACTTTCTGCTCAACAGCCTACCTCAGTCATGCACCCACCTGGACTGTGTGTTAGAATGAGCAGTCCTGCAAGAAAAGCAGCTTTAAACATCCATCTAGGAGAGCACTGAGCCAGGTAAAGCGCATCCACTCTCCTCTGCCCAGGGCGATTCCCCTGGGTAGCCAGCAGACTGAAAACTCAAACACCCTGGAAGGGTTCCACGCCTTCTTACAAACCAAAGCATTAATGCAATTGGGTTTGTTACGGCTTAAGTAATTGCCACAGGCCCTCAGCCTTCAAAGGCCACTACTGCCACCATTGAGGGAGTCCTGTCACCCCATGCACGGGGCACTTGACTACACCAAAGCAAGAGGTGGCTGTTTGAAGAGCAGGATGAGGAACAGCAGCTCCTGCCCTTGTCTCCTGCCCCAGCCCTCCCCCACTAGCATGCTTTAGCGACGGTAGCTCAACTCCAGCAAAACCCACCAACTGCAGGAGAGCTTCCACTGGCTTCGTGCAGATAAGGACTTCAATGGCTCACTGGAGAAACACGGTTTGCTTTTCCCCCAGCAGAAAGAACTCCACCACCACCAGTTGGAAATGACAACAGGACCTAATCACCAAGCTGCTCGGGTGAGCTGGAGGCAAGCCTGCCCCAAGCACGTGCCCTCTTCAAATGTCACATCAAACAGCAAGGAAAAGGGCAGGGAAAGGCTACCTTTTGATGGGAGACGTCACCCACGTCCCGAAGCTGGAGAGGCCGGCGCCGCCTCATCTCCCGAGGGCTGGCCAGCCTCTGCTTGCTGCTGAGAGACTCTTCTGCCTCTCTGACCACCTTTGGATTACGAGATGCTACCACTCTGCTCTGGAATCCATCCGCCCTTCTGGAGGACCTCAGGGGCCGCGGGGTCTTGCCACTGGCCATGTCGCAGAGGTCACCTGGAAGAAGCAACAGTTGGACAATCCACAACCCCAGAACCTTAAAACCCTGGACCCGTGGAACCCCGCAACCTTAGGGAAGGGCCCTTAAAACTCACCCAGTTCCAACCCCCTGCCACGGGCAGGGACACCTTCCACTAGACCAGCTTGCTCCAAGCCCCTGTGTCCAACCTGCTCTTGAACGTTGCCAGGGATGGGGCAGCCACAGCTTCTCTGGGCAACCTGTGCCAGGGCCTCGCCATTCCTCGCACACCCAAAGGACTCAGCTGTGTCTCCAGCCTCTGGCATCCTTCCTAAGCAGAGAACACGGGGCCTCCCCACCCTCACTCATCATTAGACCATATTTAGGCTCCAGTCATAGACGGAAAAC